AAGTGGAGATTTTTTTTATATAAGTCCACTGAGAAAAGGTACTCAATAGATATCACAATTCCCATGAATAGTGTAAATACAACTCGAAAATAAATACGATTGGAAGTGTCCCCAAATCCCAGAACTTTGGGATGAAAGAACAAAAAAAACAGAATTAATGCTACTATGCCTATTTCCTCGATTTTGCTTTCCTTTATACTTTCATGGTGGTGGTAGAGCCAGGTTTTATTGCCTCTTTGCAACTGCCCTTGAACTGAGTGGATTGTGAAGCCATTTCAGAGGGCAGTTAAGAGTCAACCACATTATTGGTAGGTGTGGAGTCACATTAGGCCAGACGAGTCAAGGATGGAAGATTTATTTCCCTGAACAAGATGAGTGAACCAGTTGGGATCACTGTAATAATTTCATTGTACCATTACTGTGACTTGCTTTCATAGCCCAATTTTATTAAAATATACAACTGAATTTAAGTTCCACCATGCTGACATGATGAGATTGGAACCGATGGTCCCCAGAGCATTGTTGTCAGCCCCTGGATTACTACTGAGTAGCCGATAGTGACACTACCACCATACGACCACATCCCAATACAAATGTAATTTCAATAAATGTGACTCAAATAATTTATACAGCATCTTTTACAGCTGTTAAACCCTACTACCCATTTTACCACCAATCTAGGTTAGCATTAGGGAGCTCACAACTGAAAATTCATTATTTGACATTCAGGAGCATCAGTTAGGTAGAATAGAGCCGAAACGGCATAACAGTGGTATCTACCATTTAATTAGATCCACTTTATATTTTTTTTAAATTCGTTCATGGGATGTGGACACAACTGACTAAGCCAGCATTTATTGCTCATCTCTTTTGCTCTGGGGAAGGTGGAAGTGAGTCATTTTTTTGAACTACTACAGTCCCTGAGTTGTAGGTACATCCACGGCACTTGCAAGGAGGAAGTTCCAGGATTTTGACCCGGAAGCAGTGAAGGATCTGGTTACAAGTCAGGATGGTGTGTGCCTTTGAGGGAACTGCAGGTGATGGTGCTCCAATGTATCTACCGTCCTTGTCCTTCTGGATGCTAGAGGTCACGGATTTTGCAGGTGCTACCAGAGGAGTGTTGGTGAGGTAATGCAGTGCATCTTGCAGATAGTCTACTCTGCAGCTACTGTGCATTGGTCATGAAGGGAGTGATTGTCAAAGGTGATGGATAGGGTGCCAATCAAGTGGGCTGTTCTGTCCGAGATGGTGTCGAGCTTCTCGAGTGTTGTTGGAGCTCCAACAATTCAGGCAAGTGGAGTGTTTTCTATCACACAACTGACTTCTTTCTTTTTTTAAAAAGAAGTTTTACCATCAATGTTACTTCTTCAAGCATGGCATAGGCTAGATTAATAAAGAAACCTCGCACTACGCAACGTTACATCTTATCTGACAAGCAGTCATTCTTTAGGCACCTTCCTTTGTAACCGCCAACGTTGAGCCAAATGATTAATGGTTTTCAAGATTCAGAAATCACTTTTGTTTTATATGGTCTTTTGAAACAGTGTTGTACTACATTTTAATGCAACTTGTGCAAAGAAACTTAAAATAGTTTCCATATAACACTTCTGAGCTGTTCTTCACACAGTTAACATTAGGTTTCTCTAAATCTGGATTTCAATACACTGTGGTCAAACTATATTCAATTATGCAGGAAAGACCAAATGAAACTCTTCCATTTCAATAAATATTCCTTCTTTTCAATGCCAAAAAAAATTCAACAGCAATTCCACCAGGGTATATTTTACTTTGGTTGCCGCCAAACTATGAACCAACTGCACTGCTACACTGCCAATAACAACAGAAAAATAAAAATTGGAAAATGTAATCCTTGGCCTCTTCAACATTACTGTATTCTGTGTTGTCCACCTACATATATTCCATTAAATCAACATGCTGACTTCTTCACTAGAATTGTTACCCTTGTTAAATATGGTAAGCAATATTTAAGTACCCATTTCACCATTATTTGAAATTTCATTATGGTATAAACTATTAAATTTATAACAATAAAACCTTTTAAATAAAAACAGGAACCCCATCCTGTAGTTGTGGTCCTTCTTACAGTTACTGTTGAACATCTTGCTTTTTTGTTTGAACACACAAGCAGCTGTTGACAGCCCAAAAATAGAACGTCTTAAGTCCAATTGGTCTTCCTTTTACTATTCCAGTGGTTGTATGATACAATGATAATGGAGCTATTGATCAGTCATGGCAATCAATCTCTATTAGAATTCAACAGACCTGCTCATGTGGCAAAGAAAACCCAATGGCGGAAAACTTTATCATCAAAAAGGTCTAAAACCCACTTTGTCCTGTTTAAATATGTTACCCCCATCTTGTCTCAAGCCACTCAGATATTGCATCTCAAATTCGGATCACAGTGATTATAATCATGAGTTGATAAGTTGGACAGGTAATGGACAATTGCATAACATTGAAAACATTGAACAGTGGTAGGATGAATCAATGACCAGGCTGTATCTGCATAATCCTTCCTCCATTAAGGACATTACTCTGTATATGAAAATAAGACTTGTAAATCAGAATAGCTTCCTTTGGCATGAAACAAGAGGAGGATTCTGCTATGGTTTCTGATTTTCCCAATGCCCTCAGTTTTGACCATTGTTGCAGACATAGTGCCTCTATTTTGTTAAAGTTCACATATTGTTGCAATTTTTGACTGTTGTATGGGAACTGGCTCTTTTGTTTTCCTTTGGGAGTGTCCCAAATCATTGCATTTTTGTTTTGCACATATGCATGACTCAGTGTCTCTAATCTAGGCTTAGGGAGGCATACTCAACCTTCCAAATATGACAGTGTCCCAGTTTAGCCAGACCACTGAATTATTGTTTAAAAACAAAACTCTGAACTCTGCAACGTAACTACAAGTTACATGACAAACAATTTATATAGCGATTTCTTTTTCTAGGAATATAAATCTTATCGGATTGCATAGTAGGTAATACTCCAGCAAGGCTTAAAGTGAACAAGTAAATTGCCCATATCACTTCTGTTCTTTCCCCCCCACCAAGTTGCAGACACCATAAATTCACTCGACAGAGCCACCTAGGGGTGAGAGCCTGCTATAAAAGTGAGTGTGAAACTGTTGAATTCAGATAAAACCCAAAGAGGCCATCATGTTTCATGGAACAAAACCAATCATCTTTATCCAATCTGATCCATGCAAGATTGCTGACCCACATCAACATGCTTGACTCTTGGGCCAGAATTTTCTTAACCTGAGAGATGGAGTTGGAGGCCACGCTGCTGGGAGTCATAAATGAAAGTGTTGCAAAGAGATCCATTGGGCCAGCTCCCCAGTATTTTCCCATCTTTATCAGGTATAGATATAGAGGTGTCAACACCAACCTGCCCTTGTGTGGGTGATTAAGTGGATTTTACTGCAGCATTCCTGATTTCCCAGCGCAAATCGTGGCTGCCCACAATGTGCATGATTTGACGGCTCAAAAGGAGGCAAAGGTGCATGGTTAAACCCAATGACTTCAGTATTACGCTAGATCTGTGATTATTGTCACACAAGACAGGATGCCTGCACTGAAATGTCTGCAGCGGTCAGGCTTTGGAGCAGAATCTCATGGACCCTGTCATCACTAAGTATGCTGTGCCCTTTCTCCTCAGCTTCTTCTGATAGTGCTGCTGTCTCTGGTGACCCCAGACTCTGACTGCACAATAACTGCAGGCCACCTTCACATGCCAGCTCACAATTGGTCCTCCTGCCTCATCAGTCCTAAGTGTGTGTTGAATGCAGATGTGGCCTCTTAATTGACTACCTCATAAATGATTGTGATACATGATGCCCTTGGATGGGTGGAAAGGATTCTGGCCTTAAATGTCCACTGAAACAGGATAGCAAGTTATGTAGTAGCTAGAACTACAAAGATCTAGCATGGCTCAGGATGTAGTTCACCATCACTTTCTCAATAACAACTAGGGATGGTCAATAATTGCTCACCTTGACAGTGATGCTCATATCTTGACAATTAATAGTTTAAAAAACTTCACAACTGATGGTGAAATTGAGTGAGAAAAGTTAACATTATAATATGAACAAAAACAAAGTTGCTGGAAAAGCTCAGCAGGTCTGGCAGCATCTTTGAAGGAAAAAACAGACTTAAAGGTTCTGAGGAAGGGTCACCGGACCCGAAACATTAACTCTGTCTTTTCCTTCACAGATGCTGCCAGACCTGCCGAGCTTTTCCAGCAATTTTGTTTTTGTTCCTGATTTATAGCATCCGCAGTTCTTTCGGTTTTTAACATTATAATATACAAGGATACGTGTTGACAGAAAAACAGGGCCAAATGCTGTGATGTTTTGAGATAGGAGCATGAGCTTTGCAAGATTATTTGTTATATATGTATTTAATGTCCTGTTTTCCACCAGGAACTCTATATTAATCATATAATTCTCATGTTCCCATTGGTAGATTTTTCAATTGAAAAGGGAGACACGAGTTATTTGGGATAGACGCAAAGGTGGAATTCAGGTAACACAATCGGCCATGATCTTATTGAATTGTGGAGCAGGCTTTAAGGGCCAAATGGCCTACTCCTACATCTTACATTCCTATGCTGTCAAACAACTGCCAACTCTAAATTCAGCTAGCATGAGAACATTGCTGGGGTTTCTACATGGCATGGGGAGGTTGAGGTGCTGACAAGGTCTAAGTACCCCTATCATCACTATAATTATTTCTGCTGCATCTTGAGCGCACTATCTTTGCAAGCTACAAAATCTTACAAATTTGTTTCAGTCACAGTTGAGCAACTGGTTCTGTGGTGTATTTTAAGATATATTTGCTCATCCAGTGGCATTGAAAAGTTTCTTTTGCAACAACAAGTCAGAATAAGGAAGGATCCTTACATTTCTCAATGAAGACAGACATTTGTCATTCATGAAAGCTCTGAATGTGAGAGATATGGACTGAATACAAACATACCATATTATGCTTGAGGATTCTCTGAACCACAGGTGTGAACACTTCTATGACAACCATCGATCGAGGCCGTTCTCTGCAATGCTGCAAAACGAAAGCACCTTTGAAACTCAATCTACATGGAGCATACGATCATAGAACCATACAGCTTAGGTGCAGGGTATTGGCTCATTGTCCTTCATTGGCTTTTTGTAAATTTATCCAATTTGTCCCATTCTGCTATCAAGATTTCACTTACAAGTACGTATTCAATTTGCTATCCAAAGTTACTATTGAATCTGTTTCCATTGCCCTCTCAGGTTTATATTATGGTCATAAGACATGCCTGTCTAAAATACAATTTCCTCATCTTATGTCTCTTTTACCAAATATTTTAAATCTAGAAGATCTGATTATTGGCCCTTCTGCCATCAAAGCCCTTCATCATTTTGAACATCATCCCTTAATCTTCTTTGCTCTAATGTGAACAGTCCCAGAGTCCCTGCTTTCCCCACTTCTACACAACCAAACAGACCAAGAGAATCCTTCAGAGTGTACTTTTTTGTTCAATAATATTGTGATGATTATGGAGATTAGATTTTGCATTTGCAAAATGATGTATATTTCCATGTCATTTACATCAATTAACAGCTGAACCTTGTACAAAGAAGATTATGTTGCTCGCCTCAGTCATTGGCAGCAAATGCAAATTTGAATCAAATTGTGTTTCAAAAGACCTGTCGTGGCCTCTAACATGCATCAACATACAAAGATTCAGAAATAAGTACCTTGCAGAAAAACTCGCAGAGATCTGGAGGAGGATGGTTGTTTTCCAGCAAAGGTGCTATTGCCTGAGGGACAGAAATAAGGTGTTCAAATTATTCTGCAATCTTGCTTTTGGCAAATTAAACTTAGCTATATTTAAATAGGTTTGCTTTTGGTTTAAAAGGGAAATCATGTAGTGAAGTACTTTCAGTCTAATGCCATTCGCTCACCAGCTCCTCCCCTAAAATTACATCACAACAAAATAAATGTGAATACAAGTATCTTCAATGTGCAACAAAAACAAAGTTGCTGGAAAAGCTCAGCAGGTCTGGCAGCATCTGTGGAGGAGAAAACAGAGTTAATGTTTCGGGTCCGGTGACCCTTCTTCTTCAAGGTCTTCATCTTCAATGTGCTTCACTCTATAACACAGGCTACAGCAGTAGTGCACAAACATTTTTCTAAGTTTTTGTCTCCCAGTATTACCCCACAGGAAGGCAAAGGCTAGTTCCGAGTGACAGAACTTCCCCAGCAGCATCCATTACAGGACCAGACAGGAGGTCCAGGTTCAAGTCCCACTCTAGAACTCAGTAGCCATAGAAGTGGAGTCCACAAAGTGGTTCGAACAGGTTGATACTCAGCCTGCTACTTCTACATCTTTCTCCAAAAGGAAAAACACTACGTGTGAAGATATAAAACACACAAGTGAACCAGTAATATGGATGTGTCTGGCTTAAACAGACTCAATGATGGCTGACTCTCCTCAGAATACTATTTGGATACAGAAGTGGTTCAAAGGTAGAAAACAGAGGATGGTGGTGGAGGGTTGCTTTTCAGAATGGAGGCCTGTGACCAGCGGTGTGGCACAAAGATTGGTGCTGGGTCCACTGCTTTTTGTCATTTATATAAATGATTTGGATGTAAACTTAGAAGATATGGTTAGTAATTTTGCAGATGACATTAAAATTGGAGGTGTAGTGGAGAGTGAAGAAGGTTACCTCAGAGTAAAACGGGATCTTGAACAGATTGACCAATGGGCAGTGGAGTAGCAGATGGAGTTTAATTTAGATAAATGTGAGGTGCTGCATTTTGGAAAGGCAAATCAGGGCAGGACTTATACACTGAATGGTAAGGTCCTGGGGAGTGTTGCTGAACAAAGAGACCTTGGAGTGCAGGTTCATAGTTCCTTGAAAGCAGAGTCACAGGTAGATAGGATTGTGGAGAAGGTGTTTGGTATGCCTGCCTTTATTGAGTCAGTGCATTGAGAGTAGGAGTTGGGAGGTCACGTTGCAGCTGTACAGGACATTGGTTCAGCCATTTTTGGAGTATTCCATGCAATTCGGGCCTCCATCCTATAGGAAGGATGTTGTGAAACTTGAAAGGTTTCAGAAAAGATTTATGAGGATATTGCCAGAATTGGAGGGTTTGATCAATAGGGAGAGGCTGACTAGGCTAGGGCTACTTTCCCTGGAGTGTCAGAGACTGAGGGTTGACCTTAGAGGTTTATAAAATCATGAGGGGCATGGATAGGGTAAATAAGCAAGGTCTTTTCCCCAGGAGTCCAAACTACAGGGCATAGGTTTAAAGGTGAGGGGGCAAGATATAAAAGGGACCTAAGGAGCAACTTTTTCTTGCAGCGTGTAGTATGTGTACGGAACGAGTTGCCAGAGGAAGTGGTGGAGGATGGTACGATTACAACATTTTAAAAGGCATCTAGATGGATATGTGAATAGGAAGTGTTTAGAGGGATATGGGCAAAGTCCGACAGGTTTATTTGAAAACACAAGCTTTTAGAGCCGCAGCTCTTCCTCAGGTGTTAGTGAGAGAGGTAGCATTGGACACAGAATTTATAAGGAAAAGATCAAAGGTTCACACCATTGATGAGGATGTACTAAACAAACCTACGATGCTGTTAAATCTTTAATCAGTTAGAAGGTTTTAATTGATTAATACGTACATGTAAACCCCGAATTCCTTTCAAGTCCCTGTCCTGATCATGATAAGCATCAAGCCCTGAACATAATATTGCATTGCCACATAAGAGATTAATTTATTTAAGAATAAGGGAGTGAATTCAGCAAATGCCCAACTGTGTTGCTCACATTGCAGTTTCCCAATGGCACTGTCTATATGCCTGCATTATAGTAAATGATCTTTGTATTTATACTGAGATATTACGTTGAAGCATCTCAAAGCACTTCAGACAAAAAGTCAACTTTGAAGGCAATGACTATAATGTAGGCAAATACGGCAGCCATTATGCAACAATAGAATCCCATAAACAGTTTTGTAATTCTGCTGCAGAGTTCTGCAAACGGTGGAAATGAAAAGCTCTCTGCCAGAGATGTGAACATCCTACAAATTATAATCCGTGATCTACACACTGTCTTGATTCCCCACTGCTTAACTCCAATGAAGTGTTGAGAAGATCAAAACCACTGCTTTTGGCCCCTACCACAAAATCTGTTCCTTTGTAGTCAATTCTAGCTCCTTCCCAGACTTCCCAGTCTCAGACTTCCCCAAAGAGTTACTACCTGTGGCCTCTTGTTTGACCTCAAGCTAAGCTTCGGAAACTTCATATGCTCCATCATAAAGACTGCCTATTCCAATGTCCGTAACATAAGAAATAACAAATAGGTGTGGAGTAGGCCACTCAACCCCTCAAACCTTCTTGCCATTCTATAAGATCATGATTCATCTGCCCCAGGCCTCAACTCCTCTTTCAAGCCAGTTCCTTGTAGCCTTCAAATACTCGCAATTTTAAAAATCTACCTCATCTTTAAATACTTTCACCTCCATGTCAACTGACCTGCTGCTGAAAGCCTCAACAAATCCTTTGACACTTCCAGGCTCAACTATTCCAACGTTGTCCTTGCTGGCCTCACATTTCTCCTCATCATAAACAGGAGCTCACTAAAAACTCTGCTATGTCCTAATCTGCTCAGTCATTACCCTCACTGTCAGTGAATGACATTAGGCCTCTGTCCACCAATGCCTCACATTAAGAGTAAAGACCTCGATGGCCTTCACTGTCCCCAATATAATAGCCCATGACACTCCAGTTCTACAACTCAAACTTTACATTTTTTTTTAACTGTCAAATTACACAAAGCCACCCACTCCACCCTACTAACCAATCAATCTTTGTGGCCAACCACAGGTGGCCGTGTAGGTCCCATGGACCTCCTTGAAACCTTCTTTCCCCTGCTTTCAGGACCCTCTTCAAATTTTATACTTAGTTGCTTTCCCCTAATAACACATTTCTTCACTCAGAGCTAATTCTTGCCTGAGCACACTCCTGCAAATCACCTTGGGCTGTTTTCCTGTGTTACAAAAATGCAAACTATGATTATGCACAGTTCGAGGAACACTAAACTCCTTTGTGATGAAACCATTGCAAAAGAACTTGCATACTTTGGTGCTTTGAAAGCATTTTCAACTTTCATTCATGTGCATTGGATAATAAAATATCGGAAAAATATTATTCAAATCAACAATACAGGTACAGTAATCTCATGCCAATGTTTAATTTTGTTAAAGTTATTAGAAAATGTGACAAAACCTCAGTGTGGAGGAACAATTAGATTAACTGGATATTTAACATCAACTAAGCAGCATGATGTACACGATGATAAGCAAATGCAAGGAACAGACATAAAAACACTGCATCTTACAAAAAGGTCAAAAATGTCATCAAGGCTCCCACTTTCTCACACTGCTCTGAAAGAGATACAAAATGCGCTGCAAGTATATTGTACTCATCTGTTTGGTGGTAATTACTATAGTAGATGTTGTACACTTTGTTTTAATCTGTATTATATTAGTCAAAAGCTATTTCGGCTCAGATAAAGGAGTCCAGCATGAAACTTCATGGATAGGTGAGAAATTTGGTTTTGAAAAAAACTAGGACTTCAGTTTATTGAAACAATATTCCCAATGGCTTTCACTTAATTAAAATAGCAAAGAGAACTGAAAATTAGGTAACTGAAGACCGTGCCTAGATGTCTAATCAGTTGTTTAAATAAGTGAGGAACTTTGCTGGGAGTGTTGACCTCTAAAGTTTGCACCAAGCTTGCAGACATATTCGCGGTTCTGCAGGTCCTATATTTTACGTACACAATGCACTGAACATCACCTACCACAATGATATTTTCATGCTCCTGGGTTGTTAGCTTGAGGTTCTGGAAGGATACACAAAAGGAAAATGAAAGTTAAAACAAAAAATATTATTGAGCAGCTAGTTATTTATATTTTAAGAATTACACTGGCCATAGTCAGCAAACATCTTTAATTTAACTCAGTCAGCTTTAGAGTCTGGACAACATTAGAGTATAGTTAAGGTATTGCAGGCTGTTGTAAATGACATTGTGCACAATAATTATTTTAATAGAGAATGTCAACATATTTTAGTTATTTGAGGAAAATCTGTATATACTTTAATAAGAGATGTTGACAGAACTACAATGGCACATACTAATCCAATAGAGGGGTTGCTTCTCCACTCCTAGATGCCGACCAGCTTCATCCCACTGAATTTCTTATTTATCCATTTATGTTCTCACACTCAGCACCTGTCATAGCAGTGTCTATCTCTCTCGGTAGGGCTACTAAGCTGCTGACCTAATGATTGGACCAGGACCGTCAGGAACCCACAGAATGTAGGCTGCTTCTACGAAAACTGCAGTGTTGGACTCACTCACACAGACTCAGGTCCCCCATTTTGTCTGATACCTTCACAAAAATCGTGCCCTATGTTTGATTGAACATGGTGCCCAGTGAGATTTACACAAGGAAAATAAGTTGGGAGGCCAGGAACAGCTGTGCTTCATCAATGGTCTGTCTTTTGTACAGGTTCAGGTTCAGTTCTAATCACACCCCAGGAAGCTACCATGGGCAACCTGAAATAACTCCACAGAGGCCGGTTTCCTGTCACCAAGTTCCCTTTTATTTACATGTGGAGAGTCCTTGACACTGATTCAACTCCCTCAGAGCCAGCTCTCAGAATGAGCAGAATCTCTGCCAATCCTGTTTATATATGTCAGCCAGGGCTCCCTGATTGGATCCGGTTAATAGCCCCAATCAGGGAACTCCTTTTCTATGAGGACTGCCTGGCTGACCTTGTTAGAATCATACCCAAAAAGAGACAGAGACCAAACAAAATTGGAATTCCCAAGAGAATGGCTTATCAAAATTTGTTCTTGAATGTCAGCAAGAGTTAACAAGATACAAGTTAACAAGTCCTCCGTGCAGTTTGGCCAAAACTACAGGAAAATTGGTAGGTACTAAAACAGGCTCAGAAATGACGTTAATTTGATTAAAATAGCATGTGCCAAAATGGATCAGTTGGTCCATACCTCTGAGAGGAGCTTAGAGACTATCTCCAGTGGTGCCTGGTGAATGGAATCATCCTGAAGAGGTGAGAAAAGTGCCATATCCACCAGAGTCCGAATCTCCTTCAACACAACTTCCCAGCGACTTGGGTTACTCAGTACCTTTTTGTACTTGTAGATCTTTTTCTGAGAGGAATAAAGAATAAAGAAATTAAAGGACTTTGAAACTCGAGATGACAGTCAAAGAAAATGAAATCTCCAGAGAGTTCTACTTAATTTGGCCTGATTTTCACAGGAAAAGGGTTAGGCAAACCGATTTTTGTTTGACAAAAGGATGAGGCAGAAAAACGACCTAATATTTTTGTTACGATGCAGTGCTGCATTCTTAAGAATGTAAACAAATTGTTTGGCATGTTATTTTTTCCTGTGTATTCACATCATCAATTCAAACTTTCAGCAATCTGAACAGGTGATGCCTACAATAAATAATCAAAGTAAAGTAAGTCAGCAAGGGCCATAGAATTCACAGAATCCCTATGCTGTGAAGGCCGGCCATTTGGCCCATCGAGACTACACTGACCCTCCAAAAGAGTATCCCACCTGGACCTACCTCCCAACCTATTACTGTAACCTTGCATTTCCCATAACTAATCCATCTAGCCTGCGCATCCCTGGACATAATGGGCAATTTAGCATGGCCAATCCGCCTAACCTGCACATCTTTAGAATGTGGGAGGAAACCCACACCAACGCAGGGAGAATGTGCAAACTCCACACAGACAATTCCCAGAGGCTGGAACCGAACCCGGCACTGAATAAAATTTACATGAATAAAGTACTGACTTTGAGGATGCACTACATTAAAGTACAACAAGGGTGAAAAGCTGTTATTGTTCAGTGGAGCATTAAACAAACTTAATGTACATGCTCAAGTTCTATTTGAAGTAATTGGCTGTAATAGCTCACTACAGCTCTGCAATGACCCAGCTAATTTTAGTTAATTTTTGTTAAAGGGTAATTGCACTCCTTTTAACAACATAATATTAGATTAGTTTAACAATGTACGGTGCTGCAGGATTGGGAAAAGACTCAGCTTCTAAAACTGCATTTCTTCACCATTTACCACTTTATCTCCTTCCACGTGTGGACTCTGGGCAGAAAGATGCTGTACTCATAATTTGTGTATAATGTCCCCAATAGCTGTAATCTCATATTTTACTATTATATTGGATTATTTAGCAAAGACATAAAGGAGGAGTATTAACTGATATTAACTGAGTCTGCTTGGGAGTGAGAGCAAGAGTGAGAGTGAGTGACAATGAGCATGAGAGAGTTGACAGCAAGAGTGAGAGTGAGCATGAGAGAGTGAGCATGATTGCCTAAGTGTGACAGCAACAGTGTCAGCTGTTCCGAGGAAGGGTCGCCGGACCCGAAACATTAACTTTGATTTTTCTTCACAGTTGCTGCCAGACCTGCTGAGCTGTTCCAGCAACTTCTATTTTTGTACAGCGTGAGTGTGTTGGGGAGAATGGTGTTGATGAGCTACTAAGTGCCAATATGGCTCTTCATTATACATCTATTGTAGATGTTATTAATTAAAAGTCTTAAGATTATCTCCACAATGTGAGAGAAATTAAACTTGAAAGGTATTTATTAATACACCACTAGCTGGATAATCCATCTTGCTCAGTCCACATTTCACGTGCAGATACTAACGATTACAGATTGGAGATAGTAAGAACTGCAGATGCTGGAGTCAGAGATAACACAGTGTGGAGCTGGAGGAACACAGCAGGCCAGGCAGCATCAGAGGAGTAGTAAAGTTGACATTTCGGGTCAGGACCCTTCTTCAGAAATGGGGTGTGAATTGATAATGTGAATACACTGGAAATGGGGAGCATTTCTGAAGAAGGGTCCTGTCCTGAAATAACAAGGTTCAGAACAAGGTTCTGACCCTTCAGAAAAAGGGTCTAGGCCCGAAACGTCAGCCTTCCTGCTCCTCTGATGCTGCTTGGCCTGCTGTGTTCATCCAGCTCTACACCTCCTGTCCTGAAATGTCAACTTTCCTCCTTCTCTGATGCTGCCTGGCCTGCTTTGTTCCTCCAGCTCCACACTGTGTTATCTGTTACAGATTGGAACCTTCCAGGCACCTGTATCAATATATTACAAATGGGTAAGTTCTGCTACAAGTCTGTTCTTGCACATTTCAATGCATGACAGTAAGAAATCAATGGTATGTCTATGTCAAGTCACAGCCATACAGCACGGAAACAGACCTTTCGGTCCAACTGGTCCAATCTGACCAGACATCCCAATCTGACCTAGCCCCATTTGCCAGCATTTAGCTCATATCCCTCTAAACCCTTCCTAAACATATACCCATCCAGACACCTTTTAAGTGTTGTAATTGTACCTGCCTCCAAGAAACTGTACAAGGTATAAATGTGAACATGTGTTGATACTTCATTTTCATTATCATTATGTTCTAAAACAAAACATTTGGCAACGTGTCTTCTTCAGGCTATTTTTGAGCAGGATAAGAAAAACATATTTATTCCTTTGAAGCTAGGACATGTCAAGTTTTTGATTTGCAATGTCAGTGGACAAAGTTGCTCACCATCAGTAAAGACGTGTAAAATTACCCCAATATATTCACTTGACTAAGTCTTGAAAAATGAACAAATGCTAGCTTGCTAAAGCAAAACAAAACTGCAGATGCCTGAGATCTGATGTAAAAACAGACAGCGCTGCAGAAACTCAGGTCTGGCAGCCTCTGTGGAGGGGGAAACAGGAAACCTTTTGAATTTCCTCATGGACTTGAGATGTCAACTCTGTTTCTCTCTTTACAGATGCTGCCAGACCTGCTGAGTTTCTCCAGCACATTCCATTCTTGTCACCAGTCTAGGTGAACATAATTAGAAGAGTCACATGAACCAGGAATGCACTAACACATTAATTTGAATTGCTTGATTGATAAACCTGGTATGTTTATCAAGCTCAATAGAAATAAGGATGGGATGCTCTAATTTAAAAATTTATTTTTCCCGAATCTTTTAAAGTCCGACTGCAAGAGGCAGCCCCTGTTGTTAGTCACTGTTCTGTGGTGTTGCTGTGCTTTTCACATGTTGTTTAAATTTGATTAAATTTCCAAGGCACTTCCAAAATAACACTGATAGCAAAGCAATATTTATCAATCATTGTGAATAATGTTAATTGTATTTTGAGTGCCAAAGTACAAAACAAGTATTTTCACCAGTGGTTGAATCACAAAGTTCTAATTTAAGGATATGCTTACTGAAATTCTGTATCTCTGCAGTTGTTACAGAAGAGATGATGACAAACAGCAACTAATAGTGGTATCATTATAAGTAGGCTAATTTCCTACCACTCATTACTGCCATCACCCTCCCCCACACCACCACTCCCCACTGAAGTTAAGAGCAAAACAGAAAAGTGTTAGCAGGGGAGGACAAAAGTTGCTTAGAAATTCATTTCTCAGTTAACATAAACTTGGTTAATGTCCTTGCTTTAATTTCTCCACAGTGTCAGTCTCTGCCCCATTGTTTTCCCACCGCATCAATTTCAGATCAATGCTAAAGTGCCTCCACAGTTTCATACTCTGCACTGGACATGCTGGTCATTTGGCTTCATTTACCTCCCTTAAAACTGCTTTTATCTTGCCTCTATTTTAATTTGGATTCTAGAGGACTTGTGAGCAGGTTTCCAGGCTCACGTTGCCAAGTCCAGCTACTTGATCCATGCAGCAGTGGTGTGGGATCACAAAATATAGGCTTCAGGTCTGAGGCAACCGCAAGGAAATTGGCAGAGCGAACGCCAGGAATCAGCTCACAGACACTGATCTTCTGGAACTGAGTCAAAGCAGTACCAACATAAGTTACAGTAATACAAAGTGCGCTATATTGAGGGGCAGAGGAAGAGTGACTGTGCGTCACATATCCAATCAGCAGTGCATATTACCACAGACTGTTGAGCAGCAGTGGACTGATAATCTAATCTTCACCCACATGTATTTATTTTTTGATGCTCATTGAGCCATGTTGAGTATTATCAAGATCGCAGACAATAAGTGAGAGCAGGTCATTTAACAAAGAGATGTTTTGCATTATTAAAATACAAGGCTTAACTAGAGTGGGAGCGTGCACTTTGAAAAGCACTCCTTTATCTTTCACTCAAAGAAATGCAAACGTACATTACAGAAGGAATTTGGCCCATCATATCTCTACTGGCTCTTCGAAAGAACAGTCAAGCAGAGTCCCACCTTCTGGTTAACACAACTAAGTTTCTCTTCAAGTAACTGTCTAACTCTCATTTAAAATTAACTATGAAGCCAACTTGCACACCTTTGAGCACAGAATGCACCAGAACCTGACAACTCAGTGAAAAACATCTGTTTCCACTCTGGATCTTTTTCCAAATAACTTAAAATAAATAACTTCTTGTCATTGACCAATCACTACAGAGAATCTTCTTTTCCCTGTTTACTTTATCAAAGCCTCTCATTATCGTAAAAACCTCTTAATCTTCTTATGTTTCTGGTAAAAACGATTGAGAGGGTCAGCTGGAAAAATTCCAAGACATTAAAAATGGATTAATGATGACTCCTGGTCATTAATTATGTAGAAAAAAAATTATAATGCGTGCTGTCAATGGACAATTCACTGGACATATAAAATGAAACTTGGAATGTGGTAAGGGTGAAGTTGCTTCTGCAAACTCTCTCAAATTGGATTCTTGAATGATCTGCAACTTTTTTTTAAATGTAGAAGTCCAGCAACAGTTCTGGCAAGAGGACACCCAGAAAATAGTGTACATTTGATGATAACTTTACCAGTTCACACATTTTGAAAAATCAATTTCACATTCCACCTGGAATGGTTCCGATTGTTATGTTTCTGTTCTTTCCATTAGTTTACAAAAAACATTCTGTCACAGTGCAGATAAATAATGCTTCAAACCAAAATATATACAAATTTCACACAGGTAATTTATTTCTGAAATCAAGTACTGGCTGTTTCAGATCGGGTTATTGCTATCTTACGCTTGTGAAACTTTGCTGCTTATGAACAGTTTGCCACATTAGGGGTGGCATGGTGGCTCAGTGGTTAGCACTACACATTCTCCCCATACCTGTGTGAATTTCCTCCCACAGCCCAAAGATGTGCAGG